ACCAAGCCCCGCCGCCAGCCACTCCCTGGAGTGCATCCCGGCGCCCCAGTCCTCCAAGGGGCGCCCCAGCCTGCAGCTCACTCTCAGCCTTTGGGATGCTCCAGAACCTTCCAGGACACCCCAAATCCTCAGGCCTCCACCCCACCAGACACCCCCAGATCTCTGCCACCAGACATCCACCTCAGGTTCCCCTGCCGCTAGGATTTCCAAGACCGGCCCGGCCTGTCTGCAATTCCAGGGAACCTGATCTTTGCAGGGCACCCCGTTTCTTAGGCCCAACCCCCCCCCCAAATGTCTTCCCTTGAATGGTACCCCCTTCACGGACACCAGTGCTTCCCAGAGGGTCGTGTACGTGCCTCTGACGTGCTGAGGTCCAGGCAGTGCGAGGACAGACACCCGGGAGCTGTGTCTTCCCCGAGAGGGTCTGCCCTTTGGGGCGCTTCGCTCACAGGCCAGTAAGTAAGTCCAGGTTGTGTTGCGCGGACGCCGTTTGTTCAAATTGAGTGTCTCCATCCAGAGGCTGTGCCGGACGGACGGACGGACGGATGGACACTGGGACATCGAGGCTTAGGAAACAACCTACCCACCTGGGCGGGGACCCCAGCCCACCGTCCCCCGCGGTCCCCGCCCCGCCCGCGGGTTGAAAAAGCACTCCTCACACCCCATCCTGGCTCAAGGATGCGCTACCTCCCCCACGCCTGGAGGCCACACCGGCCCCAGAATCCTTAGAGAACCCCCCTTTCGGAGCTGGGGGCCCGCAGAATTAGCAACCTTCCTCCCTGTGCTCCCACAGCCTCAGGAACCCCGCCCGAGGGTTGGGGGGGTGTCACTGAGCACGATTCTTGATGCAACGATTCCTATGCAAGGGGCACTTTGAGTCCCCCCCATCTTTCCCTCGGACCCTAAACCCTGGCGAATCTGGGGTGAGGGGTGGGGCAGGTTCTGCGGGGAGCGGGGCGGGGCAAAGGGCTAGGGGCCCCAGACACCAGGGTATGGGGGTGGGGACTGATTATATTGCCAAAGGGTTTTAACTTCTTTAAAAAAAAAAAAAAGTCCCCCCACCTCCCATTCCCCAGACCCTCACGGAAGACGAACGGTGCGGGGGGAGGGGGCGAGGGTCTTTTCCAAAGGGTACAGACCTCTTCCCTCCGTCTCCCCCCTGCTCGCCAACCTGCCACACGTACCCAGCTTTTTAGTTCAGCTTTTAAAAATAACTACGATCATGACAAGCCTCTACCACACGTGAATCTCATCCCCCAAGTCAATAAACAGCGTGGGACTCGGGGAGGGAGGGCGAGCTAAAGGGACGACTTCCACGTCCCGCTCCCTCCTTCCCCCCCACCCCCCCACCTTTGCCGGGCCGCC